AACAGGGAGTCCCAAAGAAACACCCACCAGTGCATCTCCCCCACAGAGTGGTTAATCTAACTCACCAACCAAAAGGTTTGGATCTGGATTTCTGGCCCTTTTGAGAAATAAGAGATCAGATAACAATAGGCTGGAACTGGGTGGTGGCTGCTCCACTAGATCCTCCATCTGCTTCTTAGTGCACTAGCGCACCCCTCCTTTCTCCATGACCACAACCTCTGCCTCCCTCCCTGCCCAGCTCCTGTGCACATCTGAGTTGTTGACTCCCAAGGTAGATATTATTCCCCCTTTTTATTGATGAGTGTGGTAACTGAAACTCAGGGCAGTTAAGTACTTTTCCCATGGTTGCCTAACTGAAAGTAAAGATCTAGATAGAATTAGAATTTTGGTCCATTTCATTTATAGAGAATGTATTGTCCTTGGAGAGAATATATTGCAAGAGAGAGCCCTGTATTTAAGAGAAGGCTCACGAAGTCAGGAGTTTGAGACCAGCCTGGCCAATATGGTGAAACGTCGTCTCTACTAAAAATACAAAAATCAGCCGGGTGGGGCGGCGCGCGCCTGTAGTCCTAGCTACTCGGGAGGCTGAGGCAGGAGAATCGCCTGAACCTGGGAGGCGGAGGTTACAGCAAGCCAAGGTCGCGCCACTGCACTCAGCCAGGGCGACAGAGCGAGACTCCGTGTCAAAAAAAAAAAAAAAAAAAAAAAAAAAAAAAGAAAGAAAAAAAGAAAGAAAGAAAAAAAAACAGAAGTGCGCAGAGACCTAGATTCAAGTTCCAGCTGCAGAGCTTGCTGAATACGTCTAACCTTGGATACATGGCTCCACGTTGCTGCTCTGGCCCTCAGAGAGCTCATCTGTAAAATGCGGATGACCAGGCCTCCTTCCCCAGCTTGTTTTGAGGATCACAGGAAATGTTTGGGAAGCCAACCCTTGATATAACCGGGAGCTCTACAACTCTCAGAGATTGCTAGTGTTAGGGCAACAGCAAGAGGAGGGCTGGCAACTTTGTGCTACCATGAAGGAATGTCCGGGAAGGACTGATGTGAGCCAGATTTGAAGGCCTTGAGCAAATGGATCAACCCAGGAAAGAACTGGCTGAGCCTGGTCGTGCCTGATGGAAGAGCAGGACAGCCACAATTCAAACGCACGTGAGGGAAATCAGATGACTGGACTGTAGGTACCAACGGTTCTGAAGCGGGTAGGTTCGCCTGGGTGATGGCCTCGGCCTCCGCCCGGGAGGTTTCCTGCGCGCCAGCCCTTCCCCTGCGCCCGCCCGCGTCCCCCCTCCGCCCCCTCCTCCCGCCGCCCCCTCCCCCGCCCGCTGCCGGCCCCGCCCCAGGCCTGTACCCGCCTTGCCGCCCAGCGGTCCGCAGCCCAGGATCAGCCGAGCGCCTGCAGACCGGCCCCGCGAAGACAGCGCGCCCAGCCCCACGTGAGTCCGGCGGGTCGCCGCCCCGGGCACCCTCGCGGCGGAAGGGCCGGGGTGGGGACAGCGGCGAGCGCTTTTCGCCTCGTCTGAGTTACTCTGAAACCGAAAGCTCCTGCTGGCGGCGGGGAGGGCGCGAGGCGGCGGCTGGGCAGCGGGGGGCAGGGGGACCCCGGCTCGCGGGAGACCGACGGGGCAGGTGGCCGCCGACCGCCCCAGGAGAGCGCGCGCGGTCGGGAGAGAGGTGTGGCGAGGGCAGAGACTGGGGATCCCGATCTGGGGAGCTGGTCCAGAGGGCGGCTGAGGACCGGAGGGGCCAGGTTCCGTTGGGGTGCGCTGGCGGGGAGGACCTTCAGGCACGCCCCGCACACCCGCACTCAAACCCCTGGCCCCCTTCCGCACCTGGTGGCACCCCTCCACCGTTGCAGGGCTTTCCAAGCAAAGCAACTCCGGAATGAAACTTGAAGACTGCAAGGAATGGAAGCCTCCACCCGCTGTTCGTTTGCGCGTCTTCCTTTAGAAAGCAGCTAACCCCCTCCCCCAGAAGGCGAGCTCTGAGCAGCCTTGACGCAAACCAAAGCTCCGAGAGTTGGAAGGAGTTGCCCAGAGGCACCCACAGAATTCGCAGAGTCTGAGTTCTCTGTACCAGATTATCTCCACCTTGTTCCTCTTCTGCAGGATCTTGGTGGTTCTGAGAATTTTGGGTGATAATCGGGGCCACACTCTTGCTGCGGGTCCCACTGAGCCACTCCGGCCAGCCGACTTTCTCTGCTCGTTCTGTCTCCTCCTGCTAAGTTTCCATATTTGGCTATTTCAGATTTGCTTTCATGAGAACTCAGTTATCTCGCTGTGGCAGGCAGAGCTGCCCTAGGCGAGTGTTGAGGTTGGTGAAAACAAGCGAGGCTCCCTGCTGGGGCTGCCCCTCCGCCCTCTACAGCCCTGGGCTCTGACCCCACCGCCAGTGAGGATAGGCATCTGGTAACCAATTTAATTCGGTAAATATTTACCGGGCAGGTGCTGTGTGAGAACTGGGCTAGGGCCAATGGAATATGATTGTTTCCTCCAGAGATATTTGCATTTTAAAAGGGTCTGGAAGACCTGAGATGCAAAGAAATTAGTTGAAGCATTTCTGGGAATAGAACAGTTCTGGGTGTGTGCGAGATAATTTTAGGCAGCAAAAGGCTGGGCTAGGACCTCTCAAATCCCAGTGCAGCTGCTCTGCCTTATATACTTACAAAGCTGAAAACAGGGGTGTTAATGTAATTGATGGTTTGGGTGGAAACACTTCCATTCCTAACTCTAATTTGAACTAGAGAGACAGAAATTGCTGCAGGAACGATGAATGTAAATGGAAGTGGAAAACGCCTAGCTCCTGTAAATGTTTTTTATTTTGTTACAGTTACTGTTTTTGTTGTAACTCTGTAGAACGGATCAACTCTCAGATTCCTGGGTCCTGGATAGAGGCAGGAGGAAGTGCCTGCACCAGCATCTGGAGCAGGGGAAGTGATGGCGAAGGTGACTCCTGCCACCCAGCGCCTCTGAGCTGAGGCCTGTTGCCGTAGGTAGAAAGGTGGTGTTTTTCTCCGTCAGCAGGCATCACCTGAGTCCCCGGTCAACTTGGGTAATAGGGTGATGGAAAGAATGTGGAAAAGAGCTACGGTCCACTGAACATCCTAACTACAGATAGGGACTGGGTTGTTTTAGTGGGGATGATTTGCACAGTGGGGAAGCTAGATACCTGAGTCAGTCCTGTTAGGCTAGCAATGGGAAAGGCACCTCAGTATTTAGACAAACCTTCAGTGATTAGCTCAACTTTACTGCGGAGGACCTTGAAGGAAAAATAATTATTTGTTTGTAAAGTTCATTCCTTTCCAAAGCATTTTCTCATTGTTCTCATCGTTTTGTTCTCATTTTGTCCTCCATGACGCCCTCGTGAGACTGAGCAGGCTTATTCTCTACATCTCCCAGATTGTGAGGGTGAAGCACTGATCGGGATAGCCCCCTGAGCTCCACTACTGGACCAGGCCTGGAGCGTGGAGGTGTCTGGTTCCCTTGCTCCAGGCGCCTCATCCTGGCTTTGCAGAGAGCCATATTTGCCCACCTCCTCAGTCTGAGGGGTCAGCGTGGGGACCCAGATTCTGATAATGCCTCTATGGTCTGTCCTCAGCAACGTGGAGCAAGTTCAGCTGGAGACTCTGACCTAACTGCCACAGGAACAGGCATTCACTCTGTTAGCTCTGCCCAGCCAGGCAAGCTCGGGAAGACCCATGTCTGTGTTCATGTGTGTCTTGGAACCTGGCTTAGAGTAGGCCTAAACAGATGTTCGCTGAGTTGAATTGAATTCATTTGGGGTGCTGTCTCCCTTGGGCTCTGAGCTGCCAGGGACAAGTGCTGGGTAGGCTTGAGAGAGACAGGTTGAGCTCCCAGCAGGACTTGCTTAGATCCAGAAATTAGAATAACACTGTACAGCTCACAAGTAGCCCATTTCATCTGATTAATTTCTCACTACCTCCTCAGGAGAAGGGAGAGGCATGTGCCATTCCTTCCACTTTACCTGGTTGCAAGCTGAGGCTCAGAAGTGATTTGAAAGACCTGACAGCATGTAGGTATGAGGTAGGCCCCAATCCCAAGTCTTCTTTCTCCAATCCCTATGCTTTTCCCATAGTATCTTAACTAAAGGAAGCCAGGATTCTGGGCAGGAGGAGGATGAGAGAACCAGCAAGACATTCATCAAAAGCTGCCTGACATCTTTGCCACTGATCAGGGGTCAGTGGCTGACTCAATCTCTGTAGAGCTTTTTTTCTGCCCAGGTTGTGGCTTTTTCTGGGGTTCTCAACAGGAGTTCTAGCTCCAGCAAAGGTGTAGCAGGTGAGTATCTGTGTGTGTTGGGGCAGAGGGGAGCACGCTGCAGGGCAGAGGCAGTCCTCAGAGCTGCAGGCCCCTGCTGCTGCTGCCGCCCAGGAGTGGGCCAGCATGAATTTGTTGCCTTGCCCAGAGGAAAGCCTTATTTGAAGGATCACACAGCAGCCTTGACCCGTATGGCCTCCAGCAAGTCCTACCTTGTGAAAAAGTGGCATTGAGGACCAGACAGGATATAAGAGTGAAAATACTCATTAGTCCAGACAGGAATTCAGTCTGTTCACAGTGACAGTGATGAGCACGTTTTGCATATTGGTACCTGGAGGCAGGCGGTGGTGCATGCTTGGGTTGTGCTGTAGCAAAAGCAGTTTACATGCAAATGGTCTGTACCCTGTGCCGGACCCATGTGATGTGTAGGTCTTGGAGACCCAGTATTAAGTGACAAAGCCCAGTAAGTGCCCTCCCAGGATATGTGTGTGGAGCAAGAGCTGCCATCTTACTTACTTTCAGCAGAACCCCATGTCTCATTTCTTGACACCACAGGCTCCATCAACTTCCCTCCTTACCAATTCAGAACATTCCTGAAATTTTTCCATGGCTTCTTTTTTCTCTCTCAAGGAGGAAGTGCTCTCCTCCAGATCAAGGTGAGAGCACCTTCTCCACCCACACTCCCAAGTTAGCTCTCTCTTCCTCCCTCTGAGAAAGGTTCCCTCCATCCCTCCCTCCCAAAGACTCCTTCCCTTACCCATAAGCTGAGTTTTCTGTTAATAAGAAAACTCCACGTTTCCTCAGTCCCTCTTCTCTTTCTTTCACTGACAAGCTTCTGGAGTGCCCAGCTCTTGCGCTTGCTCCTCACTCGGCACCGTGCACCTGCTGTGCTGCTCTGATTGTCCAGTATAGGTTTCCAGGACTTGGTACTCCTCAGTCGCCAGCCCATACCAGCCCACGCTGCAGCTGTTGCTTATCTCCTTGGAGGCTGCCACCCTGTCCCCACCAGCGTTCCCTTCCTTGACCTCCAGCTTCTTGTCCTCCTCTGTCCTGCAAGTGCAGGTGGGGCCAAGGCTGGGCCCTCGGCTGGATTTCGATTCCCTGAGCTTCTCTCCTTAGAGCCCTTTTCCATTCCCAAGACTTAAACCAACACTCTTAAGGAAAGGCTAGTCAAATTTCCATCCCTCACCCAGTTTTCTTCTTGGCTACTCTGATTTGCAGTATTCGGAATCTTCGCCATGATGTTTCAGGAGCACCTCAGACATTCGTCCCAGGCTGCCTCTTTCTCTGTGTTCTGTTGCAGAGATTGCTGCTGTTCCTCAGTTACCTTTATCCTGTCCCCCTCAGCCAGTCCTGACCTACTGTCTATTCCCAGTTCAGGGCCACAGGGACTCTTTCCTGGGCAACGTTAATTATCCATTGACTCATTTTCCTGCCCCAGGTCCATCTGTATTCAGTTTGCCTTGCCACGTGGCTGCAGAGGAGCCTCCCTAATACATAGCCTAGTCAAGATCTGCTACCTTCCCTAATGGTGTGGTGGAAACAGTGTGGACTTCAGAATCTGGTGGGCCTGGGTTCAAATCTGGATTTATGATTTGCTGGTTGTAGCTGTATAATCTGGGCAAGTTGCCCAACTTTCATAGTGTCTGTGTTCCCACTGGTAACTAGAAATAGTAATATCTGCCACTTGGGGTTACTAGAAAGATTAAATGGTCAATATATACACAGATCCTGGAGTCTGGCAGATATTCAGTAAAACTGGTTTTCTCCTTCTATGTGGTTAATAGCTACAGAGCATTGTGGGGTTTCTGGGGAGCTGGAAAATGCATGCCTAGCCTAAAGGCATTCACATTTAAATGAAAAACCAGCAGAATAACTGTTGTATGTTAGAGTAGACCATCATTTAAACTAGCCTATTGCTGCCTCTTTGCAGTCTCTGGACCAGGTAGACCTCAGGGGCCAGGGTAGGGAAGCTGGGCTGGGACAGGGTATGGTGGGGATAAGCTGGGATGAGTCCTTGGCAGGCAGGGAGGGTAGGCAGCCTCAGAGGCTGGGGCCCCATGGTCCAGGTTTCAATGGCAGGATTCTGGTTTTCAGGACTTGTGGGTAGAGCAAGCGGCAGCTTTGGAGGCAGAGAACCAACACAGGAAGAAATAAAA